CGCCGCCGCGCTGCCACGCCACCCTGCAACCGCGCGGCGTGACAATACGTAGTCCAAGCTTTTGCGGTCGCCGTCGTCATCGCCAGCGCACGTGCGTTATTCGCGAACGGAAGTCAAAACACGGCCGACCGCTCTCGTAATTCTTCCCTATTACTGTACCCCTCTTCTCGGACATTCCCTACGCTCAACGCCGTCGGACAGCAATACGATTAAGACGAATAAAAATAGTAAAATTCTTATCCCCCAAGGTTTTCATTTTGTTGTTTTTTACCCGCTATTTGACGTCCGTCTCGTAGCCGCAGTGATCTGGCGGTGAAATCGTCGGTACCGCGGAAATGGAACCACGGCGGCCGCGCCGGCATCCCGTGGTCATCGTTCTGCTGGCGGTCATGGTACTGGTCAGCAGAGCGGGCGGAAAAACGTCGGCCACCGCATCAGACGCGTGTTCGCTCTCGGAGTTCGAGTGCTCCAACTCGGACGTCAACGTCCGCTGCGTGCCGGTCATCAGGTACTGCGACGGACACCGAGATTGTCCGGATGGGTCCGACGAGCCTCAGTACTGCACGCGTGAGTATATTATTCAACAATATTGTAATAATAAATATGAAGAGGTGGTTAAAAAAAGGCATTTAAGATTACAAGTGTAGAGTAACCGGTGAATATGAATGAAAGGAGGATGACCGTTTAGTGGCGAATGCCTATTCCATACGTAGATGGAAGAGATTTCGAAGATAATGAAGAAGATAATACGAAATATAATAATACTCACCTATCGAATATCAAATAGTCCTTCCATTAACCAATTATAATTAAAGTGTTTGTATACATGTATGAATATTACCAATTAATTTGATGTGCCCGAAAGTTCAACACGTGCGATTGTATATTAAATACGTGAATGCCATGCGTTTGAATTTTGTTTGTAAAATAACGGTGGAAACTTTGAACGGAAGAAGTAAATCAAAAAAACTTGTGTACTATTCACGAGCACGCAATTTTTTCCACGTGTTTTTTCATCGTCTGCAAATTAATTTTTTCCCGCCACTTGATCCTACACAGTCTGTTCGAAATGCAAAGGCAACAGCATCATCCACCCTAATGAACCGTTGTACGCACTTGCAATGGAAAAACGGTGACGTGTCATGTTTCCCGCGTTATGTATATATACAGATATTATTAACATTATAAAAATATTATTTATTCGATCGTTACCGGCTGTTAGTTGTACTTGGAATGGCAAGCATGGTTTTTGTTCTTAGTCAGGACTTATTCTAAAGCGCAGTTGGGCTTATTTTGCGTATTTGGAAAAGATAGATGCGCACTTGTTAATAAACTTTTGCGTAATTGATTTTTAATTCAATGTTGTTTAGTGTTATTTTATACATTACATTATGATTTATAAACAAAGTAAAAAGCAAATTTATTAAAAAATATTAAAAAAAATACTTTGAACACGAATGTAAATTATTTTATATCTTTTAAATACATTACATATTAAATTACTTCACATAAAAGCTACACATTTTATAATTTTTAACTATAATTTAACTGTATATTTTGAGATCATAGTTCTATTTTGATAAGCTTATTTAAACAAAATGCGTAGTTGATAAAAATCCTTAGAATAGTCCCTGTTCTATGTCGTAAAAATATAAGTTAAGTAAAAAACCGTAGTAATAATAATAATATATACAATATAATAATAAAACAACTGTATTGAAAGTGAATCATGTATGATGATATTGGTACAAATATTACAAACGTATTACAAACATTCATCCTCCCTTTGGAAAAAAAAAAAACGATTGCTATAACGAATTTTCGAAACTAGTGTGAGCAAGCGCGCACGCGCGTCATTCAGACCAAATGGTTGAAAACTTTCAGTTGATTACTCTTATGACCTCGTATATTTATACGCTATTCGTATATGCATAATATACACGTATACGACACCCCAAGTCCACTACTATTTTCGAAGTATAATGTTGCTGATCTTATCATCGGAAAACTCGTCGTATTCCAATACTATTCCTACCATGAAAACTTTTTTACGGATTTATTATTAAATAAATCGATTCGGATAAATTTGTATATACATGCATGGTTGTTCATTTATATACGTATTATGCAGACCTTCAAGTACCGACACAATGACACTAGTTATGGGTTTTATTGTTATATTTGTGATTATTTTATATTTTGATTTGTACAAGCGTTTATTACGGTTTTATGTAAATATTCCCTGCTGTAACTGTAGTGCATAAATTTAAATGAAAACTGACAGACGGCAAATTAAATCTTTGTAATTATACACGTACATAGTACAAAAAAGTACATTGTTTAATCGATAATTAATTAAAAATTACATCGCTTAAAATATTTTAAACATTTTCGACGTGAGACTTGATTAAATCACTTATAACGTCGAGTTCTAAAACCGTTTCCGCGGTATTATTAGCTCTATTTAAGAAATATCATGATAATCGATATAAAAATGTTGGTATCTAATAATTTTATCAGACAGTGCTGTTAATGAAACTATTTGATTTTCGTTTCGACTTTATAGCAAAGTTGGTTTTCATTTTCATCGTGACTTTTATGGCAAAATAACCAATAAAACATATATGGTTCTCATGGTTAAAGGTGTAGTTTTTAGTCACTATATGACAGTCGATCAGTTATTGACACAAGAACGTGGTAATAAATAAGCGTAAACGAGTATTGTTAATCGTGTTGTTGGACACCATGCATTTCTACATACTATAACACTATGGATTCCACGTGTAATGAGGTCATGTTACAGGAGAAGCAAACGTTCGGGGAGTTCGCGGTGAAAATTTATAGATTTTCAGTGACCACTCGAAATGTTTTAGCGTTTATAAACCATTCAACTATAGTGTAGACTCGTGCGCACACGGGATGGATAAAAATAATACGATTGTTTCAACATTTTCGGTGAACGCAGATCGTGACGAGAGAAAAATATTTTTCGATAACTAATATAACAATTTTGACTATTATAAACTTGTAATCTTACGAATAAAACAATTTACTAAATAAAAAATATTGAAAACAATTAAAAATAAACAGCTAAAATAACAAATATCAAATATAATAATAAATTCCTCCGAGTTTTATAATTTTCTGAATATTATGTTATGGTTTCCAGGAAAATTTAAAAGCAAGAGTATATAAATACGCATAAAATAGAATCCATGTGATCTATGCCATTGGTTATCGCATCCAATATTTTCTTTACTCAAGTGAAAATCGTTTTAAATTATTTCAAATAATAAACTGTACATATATTCGAAAAACATATATTGTATACATAAATCTGTATATATGAAAATATATTTTATACTTCTGTAAGTTTTTCTTTATTCAAATTTATTCATGGGTCTATTCAAAAATATTTATCTAAATGATCGTTATTCACCCTTGGAGCTTATTTTTTTTATAATTAGTTTATTTTAACACAAGAAGTGCGGCAGTGTATACTAAGCATTTAGTATGAATGAACATTATACAAATGTACTTAAACAAAACGCGTGAAAATCTCATTAAGTATTTGTCATTGTATTCCATTTTAATGCGATTTTCTCTGCGTATTCCTTATAACATTAATGTAAACAACTGAGGCGATTTTGATAATTTTGATATGGACATTATTATTTTTAATAATTAAATTATCTAAGGAATTGTTTCGTTTATAAATGACATAGCACAACGTTATAACATAAAAAATTAGTTAAATATAATAATAGCAAAACGAATTCCACATTATATGAAATTGCTACGCCACAGACAACTTTCATAGCAACTTCTTTCATAGCAGAAATTTCAATGAACTATTTGTAGCAATAATTTTAAAACCTTTACCAAAGAATATAAGTAGTGTAAGTTGTACAAGTTTACAGCTTATTGGTTTAGAAAAAGTTCAATAACTTCAATCAAGTTTCCTATTATTTTAATGCACTTTTGAAAATCTATTATCACTTTCTCAGTACCCATCTGACTATATCTGGTATGTATTAATACTCATGTGTATGATACTTAATTAAGATTATAATTATTAATTATATTATTATTCTCAAGATTATTTTTGTAATTGTATATAAACTTTTTCCTTAAAAATAGGGACTCTTAGTTTGTGCATTGTTTGCTCAGAATAATTTATTTATCAAAATAAATTTAAGCCTATAAAAACCAATTTTAATAAAATAGTGAAAATATGCCCTTTACAAAATTAGTAATAAATATAATTACTGTGTATTATTTTATCAAAATCAAGTTAATAAAAAAAAAAAAAATAAAGATCTAAGCAAATTTTAAAATATTTCTATAAATATTTCAATTAATAAATTTTCTTTTAAAATTTCTGGACTCTTTTGCTAAACATTTATATTTGCTAACACAAAAATAGATAAATCATAAATGTACAAAAAAATATATTAGTTTTATTTATTAGTTTGTAACCTAAAAGTTTTAGCATAAATGTATAAGCAAATAATAATAATAAAGTTTTTTCTATCACAAGTGTTTTTTTTAAATAACTATATCCTCAAATGATCATTAGCTTCTTCTTTTTAGCTTAAAATTAAAAACAAATAGATTAGAATGTAAATATAAAGGATTCCTGTTTCTGTGAAATAAAGATTTAAATATAATATATATTATATGTAAATAATCACTTGGAAGATTTACATTTTATTACGTGTATATAATTTAATTTAATTTAAATGTATTTAAATATAGAACATATTTATACGATAAATAATTAATTTAAAAAATATAACAAAGCTTACAATTAAAAAATATATTTATATTTTTCTTATCATGTTTTTTTTACTGCTCTTTATATTTAAAATATGTATTGAAAATTATTTTTAAATACGATGTACCTACTTACGATTTGAGCGAACAAGACGTTAAAAAAATAACAAATTAAATTGAAAGGATATGTATCTGTATATATTTTATTATGACTGTTTAAATACATTTATATTTCATTAATTTTAAATATGAAGATTGTAAAATTTTAATATCGATTTATTGGATCAATAAATTATATTATACTGTTTTAATACTGTCCGTTTTTTTTTCTTCAAATGTAATTTTTAATGTCAAATATTAGTTGACTGAAACAAGATTGATATATTTTATTTTTGAATTGTATCCAAAAACCTTAGAATTGTTATCATTTAGGTCATAATTGCTTTGTCAGCTATGTATTATTAAGAATACATTAATCTTTATTTGAAAAATCTATGAAATCAATTATGTTTATAAGTTAATGTGTTAATATATTTTTTTTTAATAATCCTCACAAATAATGAGAAAATATAATTTATTAATATAACATCTACCTAATTACAATATGTATGGTGTATAACACAATCTAATGTATTTTGGAAGAATCATAACGTTTTTTATTGTTTTTTTTAGGTATAAATTTTTCTCTTCCTGTTGAATTTGATTTCTTCGTTGATTAGTCAACTTAAAAAATAATGGAAAATTTCCAATGTATATTTTGTGTATCTAATATTTTTTTCTTACATTTGTCA